GCACGTGAGGCGCTGCCCTGTCAGCTGGCCAGTTCGCATGCGTGTGCTGGCCACCTGAGTCCATCCTTTTTTAAAGACATTTTTCGCCTTGCCCAGGCTCCAGAGGCTTTATAGGAGCCTGGGGAGAGCAAAAAGAGCCTCCCCCCCCCCCCCCCGGAGGCCCTCCAGAGGCTTCAGGGAATGTTCTTTCTAGCTCTTTAGATTATATCTTACCTTCCAAGGAAAGAACTTCCCCACCTTTCTATCCTTCTGCAGGAGCTGAAGACCTGGCTGTGCCAGGTGGCCCGGGGACTAGATGGGGAAATTCCACACTGGTTGCTGCATTGATAGCAAACGACACCTATCCTCATTGCTCTCTGCTTTCCACACATCCATCTTTTTGTTATAATATTGAGCTATTCTCATGCTATTTTTCATTGTTTATTTTATTGTCCTATTATTTTACTCCTGTTCTACTTACACTGTTTTCATTTCTTCCTTTTTATTGTTGTAAGCTGTGTAGAGTAACCCCAAGATGACATCGGTGGCAAATGAATTTAACAAATACATATAACAAATAAAAACATATTAAAATTATATTTAATTAAAATATAAATACATATAAATATTTAAATATATAAACAATATAATTTATATTTATATTTTAAAAATTAATTCTTACAGAAATGCATAGTTGTTTTGTCAGATCAGATACTTGTTATAATTTTGCTGTCTTTTTAAAGTTTTAAGTATAATGACTTGGAAATAATGATGCAACTTTCTTTCCAGAACCTACAGAGGAAGAATATACATTAAGCAAGAACAATATAAAAATGCAGCTGAAGATTTAGCTGCTGCAATTCATTTGAATCCCCGTAACTGGATTGCATTCTATTACAGAGGTTGCATTTTGAGGAAAATTGATCCGAAACAGTCTCTGCAGGACTTAAGTGTTTCTGGTATTATTACTTTAATTTTCATGAAACTATGAATTGCATTTATGAAAAAAATTGTTGCAATGAATTTGTTTTCTATAATTGTGAGAAAAATATTGTGTGCATTTTGAAAAGTATATTTTTGCTTTTATATACAATTTTGAAGTGAAATTACAGAACTGCTAATTATCTATATCTTGTCTATCTAATTATTCGTAATAGTTGTCTGTTTCTCCACAAGATTCCATATATTATTTATTTAGAAGAAAGGAATACTAACATGTATCATTTTCTATGCAGTTTGTCTGAAATATATACTGAATTGGTATACACTTTTTATATGAGAGCCAGTTAAAGTGATATTTTAACAGTTGACATGAGGGCCAATTTGGTGAGTTCCAGTCCAGCCTAAGACAAAGCCAGCTGCATGACTTGGGCCAGTCTCTCCCTCCCTCCCCTCATCCTCCCCCCCACTCTTCAAATTTAAGGTTATAAAAATTTGAAACTCTATCAAATCAATGAAGAGCAAATTACCTTTTTAAATCTATTTTATTTTATTCAAAGGGAAGTTAAAATACAAAAGTTAAAAAAAATGAAAAACACAAAACAATAAAGTTTTTTTTTTTAAAGAAACCCAACATATACAATACAATACAATAGCAGAGTTGGAAAGGACCTTGGAGGTCTTCTAGTCCAACTCCCTGCCTAGGCANTTTTTGTCATGGATTGCACCAGTGAGGCTAAAACCAATTTCGTTGTATATGTACAATGACAATAAAGCTATACTACTTTATGATGTATTATTTTTTCCGCAGGTATTTGTATAAACCCTTCTTTTCATGTGTTCATTGTAAAATGACTTTTTTTATGATCTGACAAGCTGAATTGAAGTAAATTCTGCAAGCTCCTTTCAAATATAGGGATGACACAAGCATCATTTGGATAGCTAATGTAAAAATCATTGAAGTAATGTGATGTACAATAATTTACAGTACCTGCAACACTTTGAACATAACAGACATCGAGTTAAATGGGGTTTTAAATCAAATGCATCTGTTTGGGACTGCAACTATAATCGTGAAAAAGTGGAATGAAGGCATTCTCTGCTTTGTGCATTGTTGCTTATTCAGAATAAACTAACTGCACCTTCTTTGCTTCCTCAGTAAGTAGAATCAAAGGCTGCAATTCTGTGCATGGTTTCCAGGGGTAAAAGTATCGGCATCACCTATCAGCCCTATTAAAGTCCAACTCCAAAGGGAGTTCAGGAAGAAGCCAAACATACTTACCAAAGTGACTTGGTCCTTAAAAAGCATGTGAAAAACCCAAGGTCAGGTTTAGCAAATTCTTTTCAATGGGAATGTATTTATTCAGAAATCTCACTGAATTAAATAAGTTAACTCTCACTCGGTGTATATAGCACCAGACCTCTGAGCCCTATCCATATCCAAAGGTACAGTTTTCCACAAGTTAAGCTTAACTCCTGGATAGCTGACCTTCTTGCAGAAAACTTATTAAAACTTCTCAGTTTGGTCTATGGCTATGGGATTCCCCAGTGATCTTCCAATGATGAATAAACAAAATCTGATTTTGGTGGGGGTTCCCCCCCTCACCCCCAAGGATAATCAAAGGTCCAATGTGTGTGGCTAGCTGCTCAGAAATTAGTAAATTCCACAGTGCTTTCTCTCAAAAGAATAGGTTTTTAGATTGCATTTGAAAATAGAGATCAGTGGGAAAAATGATTGATTGATCTAAAGTAAATATATAAACTAACAACTGGATGTTACTTCAGTTTTTAGTACTGTTGATGTAATCCTTTATTTTGCATTAAAATATTTTCAAAGGAGTAGCTAATTTTACATTATAAAATTATAAAAGTTTATCCATGATGAAAAAAAAAGTGCTTTGCAATTTATTTTTAAGAGACATTGTTGGTAGTGCTGGCCAAATTAGATGTGATACAGGAGTTTGTGATGGCATTTCCCACTGAGTTGAGTCTTTCTTTTTAAATCATTAGAAAGGATACCTATAGATGTCATTTTATCTGTCAAAACCATGTCTAGAATCTTTTCTAGCATACTATTCCCATTTAGGCTAAGTCAGGGGTGGGGTTGAAAATTTTTAACAACTGGTTCTCTGCCTGGTTGCTGGGTGGACGTGGCCATGGGGAAATGGCCTAGTCAGCTTCCTGCACCACGGCAGCGAAACTGTTTCTGGACTTCCAGTACTTCTGGTAGGCTCATTTTTTGCCTTCCCGGAGCCTCCGTGTGGGCCCTGCACTTGCTTTGCATGATGAACGAGCCACGTGGAGACTCCTGAAGGGGCGGGGTCGGATGGGCAGGGTCCGCTGGTCCTTGTAACAACCGTTTCGGTGAATCGGATTAAAATTAACATCCAGTTTGCTTGAACCGGTCTGAACCGGAGCCGAGGGGGCGCAGTGGTTAGAGTGCTGTACTGCAGGCCACTTCAGCTGACTGTTATCTGCAGTTCGGCAGTTCAAATCTCACCGGCTCAGGGTTGACTCAGCCTTCCATCCNGCCCACCTGTGCAAGTATGTGTGACCTCCCCCATACACCCCCAAGCATTCGCACATGATCCCTCCCGCAAATGCGGCAGAGACCCAAAAATCAGCTGGCCAGTGGGAAGTACACATGCATGCAGGGCAGAATTGAGCTAGGGTGACTTGCATACCCACAGAGAGGGCTCTGTGTGCCACCTATGGCACATATGCCATAGGTTCACCATCATGACTATATAGCATAGCTTGAATGGGATGACAATCAGAGTAGAGTCAGGAGGATTAGGGATTATGTTCTGTTTAAAGTCCATAGTGTACTAAACTATGAAGACAAAAGGAAAGAACAGGATTAAAAAAAATCATCTGCCAATGATGGTGCTTGGAGGTATCCACGCTATTCAGTTCTGTGCCTAAAAATAAATCTATATGAGCCCTTTGTGCCAGTTCAAGAAACAATTCTAAACTTCCATGATTTCCTCCAGCATTACCTGACCCTACCACATGATTATGTATTTCGAGAACAGTTATGGCATAAGCCAAATTGTGCATATAAAAATAAATAAACCAGGAGTGAGACTCTGAAAATTTGTAGACAATCTATCTCTCCATTTGAAGGGAGCTTCAATTATCTTTTTTAAAATCTATATTAAATTTTTCTGTTCACTGGACATATGAAAATAATTGAAAGTCATCTGCTGTCAATTGTTCTTTTGACTTTATCTAAAGTTCTCATATATTTTGAAATAGATTAAATGAACTTCCTGCCAAAGGTTCTAAAAAAATTCACAATACAATAAATAAAACATATTTATTATTGTAATAATAAATACAGAGAATCATGAAAAGCGGAGACAACAGCATGCCATCATGACCCTTTTCTTATACATTTAAATAATTTTAAATTTTATTGTATAGGACACAAAATTCCTATTTTTCCTCATCTTTGCACCAAATGAAGATTAATCACAGTAGGATTAAAAAAAAACTTCAGGAACTAAGTAGTCAGTTGGATGACTTCACTTAAATTGGTAGAGAATAGTACATTTTCTATTTTTATTCTTTCAAGTTTGCATGTTATTTCAGAAGGCATTGAGGGGAAAACCAGAATTTTTTATTCTGAGTCCTATATGTTCCTTTGCTGGCTGCTATTATTACTCTATGCAGTGCTATTTTTCCCCCTTTGAAAATGAGTTTGCATTAGAAAACTACATTTAACTTGGCAAGGTAACAATGCACCTATTCAATTGTTAAGGGAAAAGGTCTTGTTATCCAGTGCTAAAATGCCTCTTGCGAGAGTCTTTGATTTATTTATAGTAAATAAATAGTAAATAAGTACTATCCTACTTCAGCAGACTGATTAGCTGTGAAGTAATCAATTCATGTTTTATGTTTGATTTCATGTTTGAATCAGGAAGATAAGAATACCCAAACCCTTGATTTTCTGATATTTACCAAAAGAAAAGGGGGAAAAAGCCAAATAATAACTTTGGCTTTTTACTGATTCTTAAAATCCAGAACATAATTCTTTGCCATAAATAATAGTGATAGCATTTTTGATAGTGGATTATGCAATGTAGAAATATACAATTTATTACTAAATAAATTACTAAACGAGGATGGAAAAATGAGGACAAAGAAACAAAGCACTTAATACATTGTAGTTCCAAGATAATTTTTTAAAACTGTGAGAATTTGATGAAATTCTGCAAGAGAACTAAGATTTTTCCCACTGGTGGACCAATCATTTCCTTGACTTTTTTCTTGTTTTTTACATGTTGAAAGGAGCTTTTGTAAGGTTACTTTTTACTTTTGTTGCAAGTCTTAGTTCATTTTGAGCCTTAGCTTTCCTCACTTCACTTTTGCAGTGGGCTATTTGCTGATATTCTGCCTTAGTTATGCGTCCATTTCTCTACTTTTTATGTTCGTCCTTTTTTGTCTTTAAATTTATCAGATAATTCTTTATGCAGCCATGCTGGTTTCTTTTGAGAGCTGTGAGTTTTCTTCTTCATTGGTATTATGATAGATAATAATTTCAGTTTTCAAAATTTCCTAAGCTTCTTGAGTTGTTTTCCCCTTGAGGATTCTCATCCATGGAACCCTTCCCAAGCTCTCTCTAAGTTTATTGAAATTAGCTCTCTTAAAGTCCAAGACTCTAGTATGACTTTGTTCTGTTGCTTTTGCCTACATAATGTTGAATTTTAATATCACATAATCACTCCCTCCGAAGGCTCCTGAAGCTTCATCACCTTCTATCATTTCATCTCTGTTATTAAGAATTAAGTCCAATATGGCTGATCCCCTAGTTCCCTTCTCTACTTTTTGGGAGATTTATAAGGGCAAAATTGTAATACAGAAAGATATTTTGTCAGGAAGCAAATTGATCTTTGTTACATGAAGTCAAAGTATGTTCTTGAATGTGTACCAAATTTCTAACCAAATATTCTCGAGTTGTATAGTTTAAAAACTTGTTAGAGCAGATTGTAAGAAGTAAGAATAAATGGACAGTTTT